GACCCTTGTGATTGTATACATCCAACCCCGCAAACTAAGAGTGAACTCACAATACCACTTTCTCCTTTCAACCGGAGCCTTCACGGTCGATCTCCATCCGACCGGAACGAACCGGAATCCGTTCGATCTCACCGTGACGCCGGTCGAGGCCACCCAAACGGCACCCGCCTTGACCTTCTCCACCGGTCGAGGACGCCAATGGGCCACTCGGCGCATTTCGGGCTGGGCCGGTGGAAAACACTCATTAGGGTTTCAGAATGGATTTCTTGAAGGAAAAGTCGATGTTTCAAAGAAATTCAGTCATATATTATTGTCATTTGCCTGATCTCTATTGTCATTTTTAGACCTTGGTGGTCACGAAAGCTAGCCTTAGCTAGCTGGAGTTGCTCTTGCTTTAGCAAGTTAAGTGACGGGGTGGACGCACGTCAGAAACCTCAAATAATTGATTAAATCAATCTTATGGACCCCCCCCCCGCGGGTTCGACTCCCCCCTGCGCGGTGAGCGGGACCACCAAGCAGCTGCAGCACACCAAGCATCTGCAGTCTACCACCAAGCAGCTGCAGCAAACCACAAAGGAGCAGCAGCAGCAGAAGCAGCAGACCCAGAGCAGCAGCAGCAGCAGCAGACCACCCAGCGCCAGCAGCAGCAGCAGCAGCAGCAGCAGCAGACGACCCGGCGCCAGCAGAGCACCCAGCGCAGCAGCGCCCAGGGCAGCAGCGGCAGCAGCAGCAGCAGCAGACGACCCGGCGCCAGCAGAGCACCCAGCACAGCAGCGCCCATCCCTGACGACCAGACTCTCGTTCACCCCCTAGCTAGCTTTCGTTCACCCCCTCTGGCCTCAAGTATGTTGTTCCACGTTTTTCCTTTTTTGACATGCAGGTTGCATGGCCTGGTTCAGCAAGATTTAAGCTTGCAAGCTGCTTTTGGGGCAGCCTGACGCTTCTGTTCTGTTCATAAGATAAGATAGAAGCTTGACTTGAGTTGGGAGAGGTAATATGTTATGTCGAAGACCTCCCACCCAGCTTTTAAAATCAGCTGCGTCTCAGCGGATTCCAGCAGCTGGGCGACTGGACGTCCACCTGTTTATAACCAGTCGCAGAGCGAGGCAGAGAGTCGAAGATGCGACACACCTGCGGAAGACTCGGTCGACCAGCTGGCGTTTAGTGCAAACATCCACATTAAGTATAATTATTAATAAGCTTTGTTTTGGGAGACTGGAATCCAAGCAAACTCTGTCGTCCTTGTCCGTCACTTCCTGAGTCTGAAACGAAGTTCGAAGGCAACACGTCGTTTCGCTGACCCCGCGGTCTAGCGGCGTGAAGGAAGACGCCGCAACTTGCGTCGCTGACGGGCCCCGAAGCTGCAAAGCTTTTGAGCTTGAGACTCCTGATTTGGGGGATGTTCTTTTTGTTTTTTGTTTTGTGGCTGAAAGAGGTCGATCCCTATGAACATAGCCAGAGGGACAACGAACGAGTTCCAGACTCCTTGTAAGTCCTTCTGCTCATATCCTCTTGTAACGAAGCAGCAGAACCCTTGCTGTTCACATTTTCTTGGTTCTATTTTTGGTCCAGAAGGTGTGACATAGTTTAATTTGAGATATAGGTGACCTGGAGTTTGGCGCCCAGCTGAAGGGAATCAGCTCTGGGTGAAGAGGAAATACAACCTGGAACCCCAGTCCCAACCAGAAACAAATACAAGGACCGGATAACCCCACATGATAAGTTTTACAAATTTCAAATGTATATGAACATCACATGGGAGACGGAGTAGTGAGATGAAAAGTCAAGAACGAAGTGTGAGGAGAGAGAAGGCATATGAGGCGGTTATGCTCAGACGTGCAGTATAAGTGATGATGTGATGGACGAGGATGAGAAGGAGGGGAGGGAGGAGGTGTGTGTGTGTGTGGTGAGATGGCGTGTGTGTGTGTGTGTGGGTGTGTGATAAAGTGTCTGATGATGTGATGAACAAGGATGAGAGGGACGAGAGAGAGAGAGAGAGAGAGAGAGAGAGAGAGAGAGAGAGAAGGAGGCGGAGAGAGAAGTTTGGAGGCTCTGGATTTTGCGATCAGATCCGCATGAGACCTTCACAGATGTTGGCCAGATCCGCATCAGATCCGCAAATGCAATCGGCATTTCACAGATGTTGAAAAGAAACATGTCATGAAAACATGTAAGTAAGTGAATCAAAACATGTCTGCTGCAACCACGTGAGTTTTTGTGATGACAACCATGGCCAGAGAACTTTCAAAACAAGATTCAGAACGGTCGCGCAGGCTAAACTAGAGAACTGCAAATCACAATGGCAGTAGCGTAGAGACAGGCTTCACCAACACCCTCGCCGCAGCATTTACAATGCGATTCGCAGGCATTGATTGCCCTGGCTGTGCAAATCACAATGGCAGTAGCGCGCAAACACACTCTGCCAACTTCCGTGCCGCAGCCATTACAATGCGATTCCGAACCAGTGAGAACCCTTGCTGTGGAAATCACAATGGCAGTAGCGCACAGAGACATGTTGCAAACATCCGTGCCGCAGCCATTACAATGCGATTCCGAACCAGTGAGAACCCTTGCTGCGCAAATCACGATGGCAGTAGCGCACAATCACAATGGCAGCCAGCCCCTTCCGGAGGCTCTGGATACTGCGCCTGCCACGCGGAAGGCAGCCAGCGGCACCAGCGGCGACAACGCGCGCCACAGCCCCTTCTGGAGGCTCTGGATACTGCGCCTGCCACGCGGAAGACAGGCAGCGGCACCAGCGGCGACAACGCGCGCCACAGCCCCTTCTGGAGGCTCTGGGTACTGCGCCTGCCACGAGGACAGCCAGCGGCACCAGTGGCGACAACGCGCGCCGCAGCCCCTTCTGGAGGCTCTGGGTACTGCG